CGCTTTTAGTTACCTTTAAGAATATTAATAAAAAGGCCTTTCATGTCAGGAATAAAGAAACGAGATTTCTTCTCAATTTCTTTTAAGCTCTTTTCTTATAAGATCAAAAAAATAAAAAATCCCCACACATTTATGTACGCCATGCGAGTTGTCTGATGAATAGTGAGTGAACAAAACGCCTTTTCTTTCATCTGATTACTGCTTAGTAATTCCATTATCGCCTACATCATCTTCCGCACATATGAGACGTAAGACAGAAGATGATATTGAGGAGCAATCAGACAACACACACCCATGAGCATTGTCTTCTCCAAAAAAATAATAATATTCAGCGTAACAAAAAAAAATATATATATTCGTAATAACAGAAGCAGCAGAATCCAATCGCGGATGGGGTGATGGCGATATGTCACACGAAAATAAAATCTCTTAAATGATGGTTAATAAATTTTCTCACACACTCAACTGACCAGCATAAAAAGATCGATAAGAAAAGTCTTTTAGGATTAAAAGTCAAATCTTATAAGAGAATAGAATGTTAAGTATTAAGTTGAGAGGTAAAATTGACGAGTTTGGCTGAATATATTCAGTTAAAACCTTCTCCGCCTTACATCAACTTCCTTCTGTTCTAATCGTTGACTATAGCCTTAAATTTACATCTAGACAGTAGGATGTAATGTAAAACTCAATAGTACGGATTTTCACGTGAGTAATTTTTAAGTCTTTTAGGAAGAAGAATCTCCAAAATGAAAGCTTAAAACTTAGCATTAAACTCTTTTGTTTCTTTTTAAAAACTTTGATTTCAAATTTTTGTCTTAATTCAGCTATAACAAATGTTCCAGTTCTCCCTGGCGCAGCTATGAATCTCAGTCAATCCAAACTTGTTCTTCTGAATTTTATTAATCATAAAATCATTTTGAATTTAAATTTTTTCAGCAAAATACAGAACAACTTCAGCACAATCAGCACAACTTCTCATTCAAGCTTCCAAATCCATCAATAGAATAGAATAGAGACGAAAGAAGAAGATGAAAAAAATCATAAAAAAGATATGAAATCAAAAAATACGTCGATCGATTTGAGAAGTCTTTTAGTAAAAAAAAGATTAGATATTTAAAATTCAACAGGGTTTATTCAAGCTACAAGACCGAAGAGAATGTTCTTTTATTATATTTACGTCAGAGTCAAAAACTCTGTCAGAAAAGAAGAAAGCCTTTAAGATTCCAATCAAAAAGGCATTAAAAATTAAAATTGACTTTTTTTCTGTTTGAATGGAAACACACCATTTCCATTGTGCCACCTCTACAAGTCATCAATATACATTTTTTCATATTTATTTTTTAAATAAATTTAAAATTTTTATATTCTTTTTCTATCTCTATTCTATTCCTTTTTCATACTTGAGCTGTCATTGTTGAGAGTTCTTTCACACTTTTGAATATAATATCATTTAGAATTCTTAATAAAAATGACTGAATCTAATAGATAAATGATTTCTGAAAGTCAAGAGGTGCCTTCTCATATTTGGATATTCAAATGGGCAAGTACATGCTGCTTTTATTTCTTCCCATGAATATTATTTCGTCAATACTTAAGGTGTTATAATGAACAATTTAACAGTGTGAATTAATTATGAATAAGCAAACAGAGCAGAGGTCCTTTGATTAAGTTCTTCTGTACTGCAAACTAAAGTCCCATCCTTTAATAATTGCACAGATAACATTTCAGCTTGAAGCTTTAAAATGGAACTAGATAATTAGATTGTTGATTGCCTTAGCATGTATTAATAATCACTGCATCAATAAACAGTAGTTAAGTAAAAAATTCAAAGGATTCCATCCAAAATTCACTTCCGTAAGAAAAATCAACCTTTGATAAACTCCCAAGGTTAAGCTATTTATCGACCAACATTTAATATCAAATGAATTACGCTTCACAATTTATATCAAGCTGCTACGCGATAATCCATAGATATAGAAGCTCAAAAGCGCTAGTCAAAAACGATTTATAGCTTAAGTAATTGTGAATGTCATTTTTATCATAATCTACGGTCCTTCGATTATGTTCATTAATTTTAATTTTTAACGCCATTCGTAAAGCCATTGGCACAACAAAAGAATCAACACTTTAACATAATTATAGTCTTCTGCTAATAAAATAAGACACACAAAGCATTTAATGTAGCTAATTTAGTCATTTTGTAAGTCATCGTACCGTAAAATTTAATCTTTATTTCCATAATTTCTTTCTTTTGTTGAATTTTTTAAAATTAATTTTCCATATTTTCAAGCCTAACAATATGTGACTTGTCATAACTCCTTATTTGGTCATTTGTCAGCTTCATGAAGAAAGTGTGATGAAAATAATTTAAATGAAGACCTTTTATGTATCCAAATGTGAGGAGAAATGCAAATTAAATTATTATCTTTCAGCATCTGTTTATGGACAATAATAATGTCGAAAATCTTTTGTAACGCCTACGAATTTAATAAATTTTGTTACGTCAATAATACCATGCTTAACATCGATTAATGACAAACAAATAAAGGAAATTATAACTTAATATTTCAAGTCTTTTGTTGTGATTTTTAAAGAGCATTCTCTTGAGTAACATAAGTACGAGATCGAATTTTTGCGTTGGTTCACGTTCACACCATGATTTCCGGAACAAAGAGTCATGGGAGATGAAAAATGTAACAAGAGAGAAAGAGATGTACCCACGTAATTGTGATTGAAAATTTACACACATGTACTTTAAATCATTATAATTATTATAAATATTATTTTCGAGTGAGAGGCGATAAAAGAAGTGCATGTACATATATTTTATAATTATAGACTGCATTGTGTAATTGTTCATGTTGAGTATTTTTTATTTCTAAATGAATGGATAAGTAGTTTAATGAGGTTGAGCTTAATTTAGGTTGAATTTTTTTTCATTCATTGTAATTTTCTGAAAAGTTTAAGCTCAATGTATAATGTCATATGCCACAGCCATATTTTTCGCTTGGTTGCTTTACCAAGTCATGTTGTGGTTCATTTGTGTCTGCAAAGTAATATAATTTGTACATCTTTTAAGCACTTTATAGGTTTCAATTATTAATTCAAGAAAATTATTCATTTGGATGATTTGTTAAAGTTTGTTCGTAATATCCACGACTTGCTGTCAAGTTTTATCTTAACAATTGTGTAGGAGGAAGCTGATTTTAAAAAGAAGAATTGTTCTTTGTGCTAGAAATTACGGTACAATTCTATTCTATACGAGTAGATTCTATCATCGATCAGGATGTTTCAGCTCGTCAAAACGTGTAGTAACACATCCAGGCTCGTAATCAGGATGGGATTTGGGGGACAAATCCCCCGACGTTAGCAGAAATTTCTTCATGTTGCTGGGAGTTTTATGAAAAAATCATAAAAATCCCCCCCTCCCCTCTGAATTTTCCATATAAAATTATTTTGTCCCCCCCCCCCTCTATAAATTCCTGGCTACGCCCCTGAACACATCGTTTGGCTGGAATCATCTTACATTATTAGGCTAGCAATTGATATGTGGTCGTCAGTGATTGAGCCAATAACATATCAAACGTTTAATACTTTGAATGACACAAGTCGGTTTAACGATTAGAAATCCGGCATCAAGCTAGTGTAGATCTGGCATGGTGCTGGATATAAAACGAAGTCAGCACCATGAAAGAGTCATTTTAGCTTGTCAACGGTTTTCTATAGGATTAACCGATTGTGCTATTCGGTTAGAACTGGTCATTACAAATCAAGCAAGCAGGAGAGAAGGAATTGTCTTGATTCTGGTAAATATATTTGTCTATACGAATTGTTACTAAGGGGCCGTTCACTTATTACGTTACGCAAAAAAAAGACTTTTTTCACCCCCCCCCCCTCCCTTTTTGTTACAATATGTTACAACTCACAACCCCCCCCCCCCCCCCCCCATGAACGTTCATAATTTATTTTATCATTAAAAAGGTGGAAAATTTAAAACATTTTTTTGGTGTGAATTTGTAAACAAATCTTTTTCGCGAACTTTTTTTAAAAGACAGACGACAGTCAGAATGTTACATACTTCTTGACACCCCCCCCCCCCCCCCCACTATGTTACAATTTTTCAAACCCTCTCCCCCTTAAAATGCGAACATAATAAGTGAACGGCCCCTAAAGCTACTTCATGGCAACAATAATTATTCTGTTGCTTAAACATCCCTTACATGAAATTCGTTAATTTCTCAAATCCAGGCACATCTCTCAAGTTAAGATTAATTGGTTGGTTAACGTTCCATAAATCACAAAAGTCATTTCAACAAATATGTCTGCTAATTAACAGCACTCAAAAATGCGCATAAAATAACGTAGGATATAAGGAAAGCCTTCTCGCGATATAAATGGTTATTACCTTATTTTCATACATTTTTTTTTCAAGCACTTCATATCTCGCGGTTTCTACATCCAATTGAATTTAACTTCAGTACATTAATTTCCATAGTGGTTTTACTCTCCTTTCCTCTTTGACAAACTACTCAAACGTAGATTTTTTTTCTTACGATTTAATTAATCATATTTCTGTGAATGGAATTCCAACTGGAATTGCATATCATGCTTGATAACCGCAGAAATGCATAAGCCAGCAATAATTACAAGTGACAAATTGTATCAGATTGTTACTGCTATAAAATGTTGCTTGACATTAATTCGATGCTACACAGTGTTTTTTCGCAGTGCATGCACAGTATGAAATAACAGGAAAGTAAGAAGAATGTGGTATGTGTGTGCATATGAATTATATGCAAAAGAGGCAATTTGAGCAAAGTTTTTTTGAAAGTGGAGATAAGTTGGCATTTAATTTGACTATCCAGGTGTAAATGGATATTGGAATTAGCATCTGATAGCTTTAGATGGAATGTCCATCTAGAAATTCTGATGCTTTATTTTTAAAAAAATTAAAATCATTTTTAACTCACTCAGCTTTAAATTCAGGATGAAGTCGAAATGCGCTTTATTCACAGCACCTTTAAGGATCAAAAATCTTTTACTTTTTCTTGTTTTTACTTTTCTGACTTTTTGCAGCTCTCATTTCTTGTCGAATTTTTCGTGCACGTTTCTTAAATTTCTTAAAAGAGCCTAAATAACATCGAACCATGACACCTCGCCACCATGCTTGAATCGTTATCGATTTTACTTCCTGTAATTCACGCAGCTTTTTGTCAGCTGCTACTTTTGCCTTGTGTGCAAGATAATCGTCGATTTGCTTTTGACGAGACTCGAAAAGTTTCTTCTCATTATCAGCCATCACTTCAGATTCACGTCTTTCATTCTTTGCTATTTGAAACCTAAGCTCAAGTTCTTCCATTTTCTTGTCATACAAAGCTGATATACGAGATGCTTCGTCATAAAGTTCTTTGATTTTGTATTCATAGAAGCTTTCAATAGCATTTCCACAACTTTGTTCTTTTATTGCCATAAATTCAAAATTTTCTGCACTTTTGTTTATTTTTTCCAATTTTATTGACTCCATCAGTTCCTTTTGTCGAACGCGAGCATCAATCCAATTTGAAGTAAGTTTTATATCAACTAAAGCATCCTGTTGTGTTTTGTAGTAGCTTAAAGTTGTTTTGTAAACTTCATTGTCCAATTCTCGTTTCCGTTGAACTGTAGCTTTCTTAAATTGAATCATATCCTTCTTAACTTTATTCAAAGCCTTGACATTTTCATCATATTCCTCAAATATTGCTAGATCCTTCAAATACTGCTTACAAAAGTCATCAACATAGTCAATCAATGTCTTAAATGTTCCTGTCTCATTTAATTCTCTTCTAAGGTTTTCCAGCACCTCACAAACTTCATCGCACTTCTCTTTTATCATCTGTTTACCTAAGAATGCTTGAACAGTCTTATCTTTGCATGGTTTAAACATCGTTGGATGAATAACTGGACAGTCTAAATTTGGATCTTCTTCATCACACTCATTTGGATCTAATGGAAGTGATGAAATTATTTTGATTTTGATAATCAGCTCATCGAGAATTTTGAAAAATTCTGGCGATAGCTTGACTTGTAATTTCGATAGTTCCATGGCTTACTCTGAATTTATTCAATTCTGACCATGTGATCTACAATTAAATTCATTCCTTGCTGCAATGCTATTCAGTAGAAAATTGACGACACGTTCCAAAAGTGCTACTGTAAACAATCATTTAATAGCAAATTCTTCCGAGAATTACTTTTATTTTAATACCATCATCATTCCTTTCCGCACTCCACATTTGCAGATTCATATCTCGTTTTATGTTTTACAAATTCACATTTAATTACATCTGCTGTTGCAATTTGAATTTTATTATCCATTACTCTTCTCTCTTTTTCTCCTCTTTTCATGCCATTTTTATATTCATTTTCATTGCCTTTTTATTTACAATGCTGCATGTATTTGCGAGTATCATTCAGTTCTGCATGAGCATCACTTATCTGACTATACAGAAGTAACATTACTTCAATTTGTTAAGAGCTTAACGCTTTGTAGTGGTGTTATGTAAAGTAGTCTGGTCAATTAGGTCTCATAATCGTGTGTAAAGGAAGAAAGAAATTATCTATATATTTCACAGTACCGCTAAAGATGTGCAATTAATGACATGAGCAAGAGATATTAAATTGTATCTTTATTAGTTCCATGTGACACTTATGAGGTAAACAAGAATATTTATGAGACCTCCCGAGCTATCTCTTTTATGTCAATTATGTGCTTGTTAATTGCTAAACTTTTGGCGGATTATCTTTGCCAAATTAATGACTTTTGTTGCTTATTTTTTGAATGACTGTTGGTCCAGTTTGATGCGAAAACGAAAGAGCTAATGGATATGAATATTTTGAAATTTAAATAACGATCATCAACATTTAAATTGATTTTTTCAGCTACTGAGCTTTATCGCTTGAACATCAAAGTATTCATCTTGATTCAGAGTTGGAATTAAGTTGTTCTTTATGCTGTAGACTAGTTGATGCTTGAGCATCATGTGAATCTTTGTCATATCGACAACAGTCTTATAGAATGACTAAGAGATCGACTTCTGGTAGGAATCGCACCTATGTCTTTGCAAAATTAGGGTTTCCAGAATTCCCGTTCCCGTGTAATTTCGGGAACGGGAACGGGAAATTAAGGCATACAAAAAGGTTCAAAAATTTAACTAAAACTGCATGTTCTGACTTCAAAATGCACAATTATATCATTCAAGGCTAAAATAATCATGTTCTGTAGCTAATACAACTGATTCCGTGAAATAATCTCGATCTTAGAACCCCAATGCAAAATTGGGTTTGATATATCATGTCTGTTGTCTAACCACTCATGTTAAATTTTGCTCTGGCTGATTCGCCTCCATAAAGCGCGTATTTCACTCTGTAGTGCAATCATAGTGCTTAAACTCCTATCAAACCTTAGGGCTTTTTCAACGATAAAGAAGTGATTTCAAATTTTTTTTGTAAAAGTCCTTCATTTCAAGTCGATAGATACAAACATATCAGTCCTAGAACGAAGTTTCAATGACCATGGAGCTAGGCAACAGATGTCCAACAGAAGCTGATTTCTCAATCGTTTCATTGAATGCTGCTGTTGAAACAAGGATTCGAACTAGTTCTTTTTATTGAATAATGCTATAACACATTCCATTCAAAGTGAACAGGCATCGATGGGCAGGACATATTATAAGGAGACCTGTGGAAGTTCCATTAAATAAGGTCTTTAAATCTGACTTCGTTGATGGCAAGAGATCACGTGGGCGTCCAAAAAACTCGTGGAAAGAAGCTGTTTATAGAGACAGTATAGCACTTGGTATTGGAAATTTTCAGACTGTTGCCAGCGATAGAGCTAGTTATAGGCGTCAACTAAGGGAAGTCATGGATTACAATTGATCTGTACGATCAGCGAAGTAAGTAAGTATAAGACATTCCAACTCTGAAATTATCAAGCAAAAAATAGACAACAAAATCCTGAGTTATGCACCAAAGCATCATCAACTAGCATTGGTGCCAAAAACAATGTAGAAAATTATTCCAAACTGGTTATCATTAATTTTGATAAAAATGACAAGAATTTTTTTTTCTCTTCTAATTAATTTTAACGAGTTTATGAGCAATCAACGACGCGAACATTATACTCAACACAACCATTATATTATCACCTTTTTGTGCAAATAAAATAAATGTCTTTCTTGTATGGAATTAAGAAGAAGATGCCAATCTTGAACGGAATGATGCCTAAAATGTTTCTTTCTTTCTTCTTCTTATTGTGTCTCTTTCAGCGCTTTTTTTGCACTCATTGACAATTTTCTTTTAACACCAAAACCATCGTCGATAAAAAGTGTATTTATATATATCGCAATTTTGTTAACGAACACTTTTAAAAAAGGAAATAAATTTATTTTAAAAAAGGAAGATCTTTATGTGACAGTTCAGGGAATTAATAATATCATGCAGCGAGCTATACACCAAGCTTATTAATATATAGAGTACTCTGAATCCCTGCCAATTCAAAGAAGAGAAGAATCACGCTATTTTATTATTTTGGTGGCCTCTTTTTGCTTGCATAACGAGCAAGAAAAAAAATGGTTTTTGAATGTCGAGACATCCAGTTAAAGAATAAAGAATGAAAATATTTCTGTCTTAAATTATTTCTCCATTGTTTCAAGTCGATGGGCAAAAAAGGTATAAGAAAGAAAAATATTTTAAATTACTGCATTCGTTTGTTTTTCTACCAATTGACCTAAAAGAACGAGAGAGATATGAATGAGGAGAGGAAAGAAGGACATATGTATCCATAATTGTGCAGAGCTAATAATCAGCATGATTAAATAATCCACGAAATAAGCGACGATCATTACAAATTTTTCCATTTATTACTCCTTTGTATTTTGTCTAAGTCGTTTTGTAAATGAACAACCAGTGTTGCAAATGTAGATGTCTACACTAGATGAAGAATGTAGATTTTCAATAGTTTTTGTCTAGCTAAGAAACTTTCTTCATAAAGATCGATTCTATATGAAGATAGAAAATCTAATCTGCACAAAGATTATTTCTACATAAAGATTCGATGTAGATGTCTACAATTCTAAATTTTTTCCAGGTCTACATCAGAGAAAAATGTAGAATTGTAGACATCTACATCGAATCTTTATGTAGACAGAATCTTTATGTAGAAATAATCTTTGTGTAGATTAGACTTTCTATCTTCATGTAGAATCGATCTTTATGAAGAAATTTCTGTCTCAGAATTTATCTGATCCAGACAAATAGCCAGAATGCAACACTGTGAACAACAATGGGAAATGATGTTAGAAACTCTTAACTATTGATGCACAGTAATGTTTATTCTAGATATGCAGTATGCAGTCGGGATGTTGGTATAGAATACTTAAATAAGCAAATAATATTATGCTCGACATTTTGTCGCCCATTCAATTGCACGAAACGATTCTGAGCATTTTCAATAATTTCTTCATGAGCATCTTGTGGATGAAGGTGAATTTATTGCTGCAGTTTGTCTTCTTTTAAGATCTTGATCATGATCTTTAGCTATATTAATAGAACAGCTGGATTTGTAGTGAATCTTATTGTATGGAATAGTATGGAATCAATTTGATCTGGATGTTCACTGGATCTCATTTTTCTGATTTAATTTGGTTTGAATGTTTACTGGAACTAATTATATAGGACTGGATGTTTACTGGATCTTTATTTATGACATAAAAGTTGTTTTTGAAGCCAACGTTTTTACTTTTTTTGTCATTTAGGTTTTAAGGTTTGCAAAATTGTCAAACTTTTAACATCTTAAGTTTAATTTTAAAGAAGCTTTGTTTTCAAACCTAAGAAGAGCCCTTAAATGCTTCTATACTCTTCTATATTCCTAAAAATCCATCTCAACTCGTTGAGTTTCTGTTGAAACGCAAAAAAGGCAACAAAAAGAATTGAATTGGAAATACGAAAAAAAGGAAAAGAAACTCAAGAAAATTACAAAAAAAAAGCAAGTTATAAGAGAACGTGAATAAATGATAATGAGAGCAGCAATACAGTAGCAGAAAGCAAAAACAAAATGAAAACACCTAATTAAAATTTTAATGATATTTTTCTCTGTCACTTTTTGCGTGCGTATTTGTTAGAGTTAATGAGTGAATAAATTGAATTTTCAAACTCAACAAATCTGTGTCTTTTCGCAGATTTTTCCTTGACGAGAATTTTGTTTTGCTTCTTCTTACTATGTCTTAAATTCATATCATTAAATCTTAATTAAATTTACGTCGTAATATACAGTAGCTGCAATAAAGTGTATAATTTAAGATGTGAGAAATGACACTTTGAATCGAAGCATTTCTCACATGCTTCTTATATATTTATAATATTTTTTTTTTTATAAAAAAGCAATGAACAGGAAAAAGAGAATGAGACGAGAGGTTTTACATACGTTTTTACAATGCACTTTTCAATTGTCGCGCGAGAAAGCAATTAGTAGACGACGAACATGGCAAGACAAAACAATGTGACAGTCACAATCAGTTGCTGAAAGATGCTTACGTACTTGAAATTCCCTTCTTTTGAAATTTATGTTGAAAGAGATTTTTTTTTTCTTTAGAAAATTATTTTTTTGGAAGTGATGTTGACTGCTGACTACTTGCATTTTGTTTAGATTTTTTTTACTGCTTCGTACGCAATTAGCTTAACAGTTTTAACTTCCATAAGTTTGTAATTCATTATTTGGAAGAAAATTTAATCAACATCCGAGTTCAAATGTCTTAAATTATCAAAACCTTATTAATTGGCCAATTGTTTCCTTTGGTCAAGACTACACCAAAATTCAAAAATTGTTAAAAATGCTCTTAAAGCACAATAAGCCTTTTAAACTTGTCACAAAAATTCACCGACACCAAAAAAGGGCAAAGAATGAATGTTTTTTTAAATTTCACAAGATCCATGGATTTATAAATAAGGTGCTAAAATTACGAATTTGAAACTCGCAATGGGTGGAAAAAAAGCAGTCAAAAAAGAATTTCCAATTTTAGTATGAGATCGATTTCCCATGATAGTAAA